GGCGGCCTGGCAGCTGCGATTACACAGTCGTCATCGAGACGACTCTGAAATTGGGGGCAGTTTCTGTCATCGAAGGAGAAATTGGCGGTTGGGGCACCACGGTGCGATTGTGGCTGACGCGAGTTGTGCTTGGTGCGCCTCTCAGCACAGCGTGGATCGCCTCAGTCGTGCAATGGAGGCGGCCGAGGATGAGATGGAGACAGCGCTCAAGCGGACCGGGGAGGTGCAGAAATCCCAAGTTGCTAGGAAGGACCTTGAGGTGCAGGAGCTCAGAAGAGTGGTTAGCTCAAAGGAGAAGAGCATTGATGGGCTCAGAGAAACTCTGGCTGCCACAAAGAGAAGCCTGGAAGCGCGGCTTCTTGCGATGGAAACTACAGTGGCGGCAAGGGATGCTGAGGTAGGGCACAACCGTCGGGCTGCAATTCCGCATGGCAGACACCCGCCATCTTGCATCGCGCAACACACAACGCCCGATGAATCTTCATCTGGCAGTGTGGCTCACCTCGCCCCCCTGGCATGTAGACGAATTGGGTTGTTGAGAGGCATAAGCTGTTGTGTGTGTGAAGGGGCGGGGAGGCCTATATTTTTGTTGATGATCAGATTACCAGCAATTGCAATGTTGTGAAGCCGTCAGTCCCTCTCCTGAGCTTGTACACCAAATGCATACAGAACCAATCGTTGAGCCCAATTTTGGGTCTGTGTGCCAACATGGAACCGAATCCCGCCCCATGATCCAGAACCTCTGGCTCTCCAGTAAAGCTACCAATTTGTGGGTGGGATGGCAATGGACCCAGTAGGCAGAGAAGGAATTTACAGGACTTTGCTTGGTCCTATACTGGTTGGCGTCCATTTGTATCCCTTAGGTGCGACAGCTCCAAGAGGGACTGGTGACTGTGAAGGCTGAAAGAGATCACCTGCAATATGAGCTTCAACAGGAGGTGCTTCGAACAAGTCGTGTTGACAAGGAGCACCAAGGAAGGGAAGAAGACATGGCAGGAGCCCTCAATGCTCTGCAGGAAAACATGTCCCAAGCAGAAGCAAGCCTCAGACAGGAGAGAAAGGCAAAGGTGAGACCTTGCAAGGTCTAACAGCCTCTCATGACATTTTAGTGGTATAGGTCATTTTCCTGACCAGGGCTTCTGCACTGACAGGAAAAGCTGGCCAGAGAAGTGGAGGAATTGAAGGTTCAATGGCGAATAACAAAGCAGAAGGTAAAGTGGCATCAGTCAACTTTGCCACAACACACCAAAGAACTGCACTGGCCTTTCTGTAGACACTGCTGCTGTCATTGCGCAGTAGCTAGAGTATGTCAGTGATCACGATTCCAACAGATGCATCTCTGGCGAATTCTTGTCCGAACACTTCTGGCCATTGCTCTTGCATGGCTATCAGCTCAACTCGTCGGACCCAACAGTGCTGTATTGCCATGGGTTTCTCAAAACATCCAGACGCAAATGCGCAGCCTCGCAACAAAAGTTGATTCCCTGAGGTGATTTTGGTTCCATGGCTGCGCCAGCAGGCCTACATGCTGTGGTGGCACTAACTACCTTTATAATCACTGTGGTAGCAACGTGGGGTGGCATGGGCTACCACTTTGAATCCACGGTCTTGTTCCAATTGTTGAATGCAGAGGGTGGCCACTGTTGTGCACAATGACTTTGCTGAGCAACCATGTTGGGATTGTGCATACTCTTGAGGCACTTGCGTTTTGAACCAGTCAGAAGTAGGTGGTTGATCTGTGCACATTACACCCACCCGCCCATCCACTCACCAGCACACTCCCAACACACCCCCTTGCAGGGAATGCTGATGTTTTATATACTAAAGAGCTTTGTCGGGTACTTCAAGCGCTGCATTGTGTTGCTGCATTCTGCTTGGAACTTGAACCTGCTTGGTCCTGGTTGCTGCCTGTTTAATTGAATCTATCCTGTTCGACTCCACCTGTCAAGCCAAGGCTCCTTTTCTCGAGCTATTGTTCGCACTCCAGGTACTGCCCTGCAAACAGATTGCTTTTAACAGCCTGCAACGTTTCAGCAACAGAATGCCGATAGCAATAGTGCTATGATTCAATGGGTTGATTGAAGGATTGTTTTTTGATCACGTCTGATTACAAGTTGCTGCTGCCGAATTATTAGGTGTTTGGAATGATGGTTGTGCAACTACATGTGTTTTCGCATTGCCTTGCATTTTCGTCAAGCCCTAACAACCCCCAAATTGCTGCTCTCCTGTAGCACTATGATGAATGTGCCATGCTCTTACCCAGAAAACAATCCAGAAACAAGCCAAAGCTATCTCCTACAGGCCCAAGAAAAGTGCGCACAAGCATACTGCATGCTTCTGGCATTGATGGCACCAGGTGTCCACAGTTGCACTGGCTGTTTTAGGCAGAATCTACTTGTCTTTCCATGAATGCAAGTGACCACTGGTCCAAACATCTCTCCTCTTGAAGCCCATTCCAAAGAAGACCAACAACCTTCGCTATAGAATGGCCGCCGCTCACCAAATGGCGCATAAGTAAAGGATTGTGCCCCAATGTAATTAAGGCTCCCTGCAATTTCAGTGGGAAGGCTAGAGAGTGGCGAATGCATTCCACTACAGATGCGTGCTTGGAAGAGCGTAGATTGCTGCTGCTATTCAGTAGAACTGACTGCAAACACACCAGTTGGGAATCAATCCGGTATAAAGACTGCTGTTGTACAGCTGGTGTCTGTTCAATGCACAGATACTCTCGCACAACGTCAAAGTATATTATTGACCCTGGTGCAGCTCACAGCAGAGACAGAACACCGAAGAGATCTACAGAAAGCGATGGATAAAGAGAGAGAACAGCGCCTTGCGCCTGGGAAGGTGAGTTTGCTAGAACCACAATTTGTCGCCTTCAGTTTTGCAGATTCCCACCTTTTTTGTACTCTAAAATATGTTGTGTCGCTGCAGTCTGTCCACCCAAAAATGGTCCAGTTAGGGATGTGTCCAGTGCAACGGTAAATATCTTCTCCCTTCTCCCTGTTAATGTGTCAGCGATGCATGCAGGTCTGGGCAATCAATCCAACCTGTAGTAAGACTTCAACCACCGATGTGATCGTGACCTGAGTAGATGTTGGATTGCGACCCCCTCCCCTCCCCTCCCCTCCCCTCCCCTCCCCTCCCCTCCCCTCCCCTGGGATGGGGAGCTGCTCATCTCACATAGGCTCCCAATTACGTCAATGTTTCTTTATGGTCCATGCCTGCGGGTAGTCAGCTTCTGTGTCAACCTGGGAAACGTGGACGCAAGTTGCAATGGGCTAACAATTATGGCGTGTGTCCAAGTGAACACCGTCAACGTCCCATCAGATTGATAGCGGCTGTCCTGGCCTGTCACTCTGCATGCCCATGGACTTTTGCACTGGCACTTTGACGCGTTATCCAAGTGACATTGTTTGGTCGCGGTTCCGAATTGCGTAATGTACAACATAAGTGCGAAGGAAATCCACGTAACTGGCTTGAAAGTTGAGTGAGAATGTTTAGGGAGTGAATGGAGGCTCGCGGTGAGGGGCAGAATTCCACAAGATATTGTCACCTCCAGCAGAATGGCGAGTGCCTTGAAACTTGTGCTTGCAGCGACGCCATGGTCGAGTCACTTACCTTGTATTTGAACCTTCACTGACAGGACAATGGGCAGGGACACTTCTGGACCATTGGCTTGTTCCCGGCCCCCCACAAACCACAATCCAACAAAGTCACCAATTGCCCAGCATGAGGACGAAAATCTCGACCATGTCCTGAGCACAACAGTCAGCCAGCGATCCCGTCAATGTCATGATGATTGTGGAATCACCTCTACTTACTTTGACGGCCAGCCGGCTGTCCAAAGAAGTCTATTACTGCCAGCAAATGCTTGCACCAGCGATGCCAAATCCCCCACAGAACTTCGCCAGATGTCGCAAAACAACAGTCTCTTCCATAAGACAGCCCAATGAACCCTGGCGGTATACTGTCAACTAGTACAGTCCACTGGATAATTCGCCAAAGGCGCTTAAGCTGTGGTATGATGAATGCATCTGTCCTGTGAAGCTGCTGAAACCACTAGCAACAGTATCGATACGCTCTGGAGTTGTAGATGGGGGCGAATTCCATATCGGCATGTTTCTGCGCTTGTTCTCAGGTGGTCTTGGCCTCTATCCTTGTGTCTCATGTACAATTGTGTGCCCACTGGCCCCATCTCATTGGCTGGGCACGCTTCGCAGCCATCCAACCATTGGTCATGAATATAGGACGATACAGCGACCACCTTTCAGCTGCTTCATGGTCTTTGCTGGCCATTTTGAAACAGTTTTCTGTCGTATCCACGCCGCCAGGAAGCTGCCATTCGTAGACTACTGCTGCGCGATGCGGCGGTTAGAATACACGGGATACAGCCTTTGTTACTCCCAGATGGCTAGCACAGTATCGCTCTTTGTCCACGCTCGTTTCGGTGTCTGTTCGATGTGCAGGCATCCAGTGGCGGGTTACAGCACGAAGACCACCTGCCCGGTTCCGCACTTCTAACCGTGCCACAGTGCTCAAATCAACGCCCCTTTATTCAAATGTGCACAGATGGCTCCACTTGGCTTGTCTGCATAATTCATATTCATATTATGACATTGCAGCAACGGAGCGGTGAGGACGGCCAACCGAAGGAATAAATTTTGTGCCTGTGTGTGGTCGCTGGTTGCTTCTAATTACGCCAAATTCGACAAGCTCTTCTCTACGTATCTGAAACAGTGCCAATCACATGAGCCTTCGTGGTGGATGGATTCAATCTTTCTTTGGACGGCCATTGGTACCGCTCGCCAGTTGACACTGACCACAAATACGCAAACAGGGTGCTGAGCATCCGCAAGCATTATAACCGTCTTTGAACTTCTGAGCTTCGGCGTCAGACTCCTTCTTGAATCATCCACCCACACACCCACAGAGCCATGTCAGGCCAAATGCTCAAAGAAGAAGTGTGTATGTGACACCGCACCGTAGGATGAGGAGATCCAGCGGCTGAAACGGTTGCTTCGGGAAGAGAGAGAAAACTTTAAAAAGTCGAGGACGTGGCTGAAAGCCGAGCTCAAAGCAAGGGTGCGCACTTTTCTGGACATTAATGGAATCCAATGTACAAGGGGCTGATACACCACCGGGCCACATGCCCCTTGAGAAGATAGTCGAAGTGCCACAATCATAATAGAGGCTGCTGGCCGCGGAGGGTCTGAATGCGCGCTCCCCCTCACCTCCGGCACAACTCCGCAAGATTTCTCCCCCCACGTAGACCACCTTCTGTCACTGCGACATCAGTCAAGTGACGCCCATACCCTCACACGGGTGGCCCACAAAGCACATGGCATGTGGAGGTATAAGTCAGGGTAGCGAGGCTTGCAGAGATGAAATCCCACAGCCACTATCCTGGTGCACACAACACAGATCCAATCGGCTGCCAAATTGAGCGTGGCACGGATGGGCGTGATGACTCTCACGAATGCGAACTGGATGCTTGGCCTGGCACTGAGGACTGGTGCGTTTGCTGGCGAGCAGGAGGATATGGAGACGCTGTTGCTCGCCCTCAGGGAGATTGCAAGTGCGCCACAATGCAGGGAGGCGGTCTCATCAAACATTGCCAAGCGCGTGAGCGAGGCTGCACGGCGTGTCGAGGGTGACGACACAGACGACGGGACAGGCTGCACGTCCGACGTTGAGCAGATGAAGCAGGAATTCCTAGAGCAACAAAGTAGGATGACCGAAGACGGCAGGCGATTGAGGGCGGAGCTGGATGCCACAAAACAGATGCTAACAAGAGCACTGAAGTGCGAAAGCAAGTCGAAGGCTGGAAAAGCAGTGTCCCTATTGTGACATCGATTGGCGGCGCTGCAACGTATTCGACGCAGGAGAGGCTTCAACAACAAACAGTGATGTGCACACGAGCCTGTTCTTGCGCCCATGTACGTCCGTGAGAAATATCATGCATGGTACCCGACTTTGAGGCAGAGAAATTGTGGGTAAACCTTCAATAATAACCAAGTGGGTGGGTTGCTGTAAACATTATGCCACATGCTCAATGTCAAACTACTGCAATAGGATTGATACCTCATTGGCATGTTGATGCGCACACATTGCCTCATCAGACTGCTTCAAACGGGACTTGTTGACATTTTCTCTCTTGATGCTTAGGACTCCCCCGCTAGGACTTTGAGCGTTCATCAAACACTGATGTTTTATTCTTTTCCTATCTCGAGACCCTACATCTGCTCATGCTGGAAAAGGGTCCTTTCACCATTACCATTTGCGGGGGAGATGCTCACGTTATATTTTCATGTGATACATTGGAATAAAAAAGCTCACATTCTAGCATAGGGACTAGTACTGCGTATGTGGCTGAACATTCGCTGCAACGCACATACATTAGGGCCCATTATCATCTGGCTTTGGAGGACAATGCACAGCCCATGCAACGGGTTTTACCATGGCTTGCAACATCCAAAGCAAGTGCGCAACAATTCGGAATGTGTATGGATATGCGTAAGGACACCCTGCCCTGAGCTTTTGGCAGATGGCGTGGCCCAACGAGCTGCGATAGAGTCAGTTACCACTGCCGTACAGACTTGCGCACTTGTGCTTTTGCTAGATCGGCTCTAGCAATCAATCTGCAATGGTCTAGTAGACCCGTGCAGCCCGTCCTTTGCATGGCGCACGTGGTACCCGTTGCAAGTTGCCAATGGTTGTTTCAATAAAACTAGTAGGGCCATCTCTACGTGGTCCGTTTCTAAGCCCCCACACCACGTTCGAAGCTGGAGCATATTCCACAACGACTTCACTTTGACAATGTCATTGGCTTCATGCTGTTCCAGTGAATGTTGTTCAAGTAGCCTCACAGCGATCCGCATTTATGCTGGTGGCTTGTGCCTTGTTTGCACTCGATTGCTTTCAAGCACACCATCATCAATGATCCGATTGTACGAGATGGTCTGAAGTTGCCAACAAGGCAACCGTGTAAGAAATGTGCACTACGCATTGTTCCCAATGCCACATAATGACCATGGTGCTTTGTGATGGACAATTCCATGTTTTAGTTGACACACCATCTGCATTTGGAAGCGTGGCTAATTGCATGGCTTGGTCTGAGCATACCACCATTGGCATATATTTCTGGATAATGTTTTCATTCAATTTTTTTAATTTCCCGGTGGCAAAGTTTTGTGATTGATTACCTAACCCATGCCATGGGGTACCTTTTCACAAACAATGGCATGTTTTTAGCTCCCAGGGTTTGAATTCAATATTCGAGGGATCATTCCCTGAACTTAGGAGAGCGCAATGCAATTCAGAGAGCATTGCTGGTGTTGCGCCACCCCGCAGGCACCTGAGGGGATGGCATCGCGGGGCGCGCTCCCAGGCTCCGCTGGCTAGGCGAGAGAAACGAATTGGCACCAAGAACAATTACAAATAGACAGTACAATTATAGAACTCCTACATTAATTGTTTGTTCCATTAGTGTGGTGGGCCCATTTAACCTGCGGTAGAATGCATGAACCCCAAATAAAACCTCAGGTCCAATGAGATCATCCATAGGGCAAGTAATTGCTTAATGTCCCAAACACTTTAAGATGTCTCAATGACCCTAAGCAACCAAGAGAAAACACACTTATCCCACTCCAACCTAAAGAGTAACGTCCCAAGAATCTGTAGCGAATCTTGGAATACAACTAATGTGCAATATCAAGAATTCACAACAGCTGGTCAAGATGCCTTCTTTACAAGGAATCTTGCGGCGGATTTGTTGGGATGTTTCCAAAGCTTACAGTTCTTTCATCCTTTTGTTGTTCTTCACTTTATTTGCATGGAATTATAGGTTCTGCATTTATACGTTTGGGTCGTTTGAAAATGATTATATGAGCGATGTGAGTAGCTGCAAGTTGACCTATGAGGATGCTAAGGATATGAGCGGGCAGTTGCAAAAGGGGAAGAAAATTGTTGTTTTTTTTGCCGCCTTGGGGAAGGGAATTTGTGGACTCGAACGAGCAAATACATATATATGTAACCCTGAGTCCCTTTGGGGGCTGCCTTGTAAGGCCTCTTGCAAGCGCCATTGGACTCACCCACGGAGACAACTGCGCTTGCTTTACAATTCGCTAGTACATAACGTTTTAGGAAAAGCGTTGCGGACAAGCCTCATTTCTGTGGAAGCGAACTCATGGACCCTGACAAAAATTCCACCAGCAATCATCGACTCACCCACACAGGAACATGTGCAGCAATGGCAACATGTGCACCAATTCACGAGCAAACCCACCATGTCGGCCTTGGTCCCACCCGGCACGAAATTAATCGCTTCGACTTTTTCGTGTGGATCCCATCTTGTTTCGGACACCCTAAGCCCTAAACCGTTGACCCACTGGTTAATCAGCGGAAGAAGATGGGATCCGCACCCAACAAACAGAGGGACTAATATGCTCCCAGGCAGAGTGAGTCACCTGTCTTACACGCACATCATGCCCATGACAAGATGACACACGGGGAAACCCCAACATCGTCCCCGATCCTCCTGAACAACCCAGCATCCGAAGCCGCTGAACACCTGGCCCCACCACCAAGGTTCGTGGGCAGTTCCGCGTCGGCCTCAGCCCAGGGCGGCGCCCCCACGTGCCCTGCCGCCGCTGAACTCCGGCTCAGAATTGGGACGCGCCGCAGAGCGCCGCAACGACTGGCAGCGGGAGGCGCCGAACGGCGGCATCCCGGCAACCCCAATGGACCCATTCTTTCTCACCTTCGTCGACCCCGCACTGGAGCGTTATTACCATCGCCGCACGACGTCCGCGAATCCGAACCAGATAGACGACTGGTACTGGTGGTTCGCCCTGACCATACGGCTGGCGGCGCTGGTGAAGTTCGCGAGCTACCTGGGACCTTGGACGTGCTGGCCGGCCTACTTGTACATCGCCTGGCTGCTGATCGAGGCCTTGGTGCGGTGGAGATTGAACGGCCGCAATCGACTGTGGCTGTGGAGGACGCCGCTGGTGATCGTCTCCAGGTGATGGGCGTGTTGAGGGCTGGCAGTTGAATTCTCGATCGCGGCGCGTTCCGGTGCACCGCGGCGAGGAACGATTGGGCTGCATGCCCTCTGCCCGTAAGAAGATGGCGCGGTGGCTGGCTGGCATCTGCCGGCGTGGGGAAGGGACCGGGGGGGGAGGGAGATTCGGGTGGTGGAGCAGCAACAGACTTTCGAGCGGTAGCCAATTCTGAGGTGCTATTTGCTGAGATTGCTGCTGGGACATGGGCACTTGCGGCAGCGGTCTCACCAAGGCGTTGGAAGCCCCTTGGCAGGGTGCTGGGGTGCTTTTGCGAGTGGAGAGGATTGGCGCAGGGAGGTCAAATAAAGGCGCCTGTATCGGACCCAGTGTTGGCCGTTAGGACCGTGGATGCTGCTCTGTGGTGTGCCTGCTGCAACTTCTGCAATTACAGGACAACGGCACTTTTTGGTTCTTTTCGGTGTGCACCATCCTTTGTTGCGCATGGTTGAGAAGCCATGACCACAGGCGTGCAATGGTTGTGGCAACTGGTTTGATGATGGTTTGTGGTTTGCGTTTCAGGCTGTTCACAACTTTGGAAATTGGGACTGGCTCTGCAAACTTTGTGTCTGCCTTTCTGACCTTTGGCAGCGAAGATCTCCCCACTCGCCTTCCACTCATCGCCCTGTCCTTCATTATGTCCCAAGGGCTGCTCACTATGACGTTCCTTGGACTCTTTCAGCCACTGAGCTTCAGGTTCCATTTCCCTCTGCAGTTATGTGCATCAGCTTTCCTACTCTCCACGTTGGGCCTCGAGGTGTGCAGGCAGACTGGCACAGGAGGGATTCCTAGGACAGAATGGATATTTGAAGAGCTTGACGCTGTCGTGACGTGGACAACAGTGCCATTCGCCAAACTTTGTGAACAACTGCTGCTGGGCGCAGATAAATATCCATGCTTGCAAACAGTGACTTGGCTCCTGGGACGGCTGCGTGATGGGCTGGTGTTGAAAGTGGAGTACCCATGTTTGCAGATGGCGATGTTTCTTCAAGGATATGTTGGTTTTGGCGTAATCTCATACTTTGTCTGGCTCTCCGAGCGCCGATCAAGAGTAATTTTTATTCAGAGGCTGCGGAGTGACGTTAGGCCGACAGAGCCCATAAAACCGCTGGACTGGTCAGCTGTTTTTAGACACACCTTCTATTTTTTTGCTGCATACGTGATCTTGTGGAAAATTTTTCTGATCTTTGCTCCCCGCATCATAAACTGGGGAATGTGATGAACTTGGAATGTGGCCCTGCCCAGTGCTGGGCTTGAGAGGGATCTAGGTTGGGCACAAGCCAGCTGCGGCATTTGAGGTCTCATGGTGCAATTAAAAATCTTGCTGAGGATGGATGGGGATATTCATGCAGCACTGTCGAGCACAGTAGTTCTAGGTGTAGGTGAGCTTGCTTGTATGAAGCACTGGTTGTTGGCATGTGTAAGCACAGGTTGCCTTGGAAGTGCGACCACCTACGTGACGATCGTTTGTTGTCCCGTCATCAGGTAATCAGTAACCAATGTGGCTTGGACCTGTAGACACCAGGTGATTAGCAACACTGGTGACATTTGCCAGGTGCCGTGGCCATAGTCAGCTGAATGCAGAACTTGGGCAAGGCACAGGCTGCAGGAGATGAATGTACCATGCTGCCTGACCAAGCAAACCTCGGGTTCTTGTTGCCAATGGGTATTTGGGCCTCAAGAAGCCGCTCTTTGGATTTGCCTCGTGCAGATGTGTCTGTCTGTTTCTAGTGCACCTGCAGCAGGTTAGGTTATGCTGATGTTCGGGTCACAAATGTATGATATGAAATTTGTGGCGAGTTGGCGACCTGTGAGCCTCAGGTGGCTAGGAATTGGCGCAAATCCACAAAAGTGAAAAAAGAGCTTAGTCTCCTATAAAGGGAGTAACTCAGCATAAAAGGAGAATATGGAGACAACAATGCGGCAAGGCATATGAGTATCTCGATGTGCGCACGATTCTGCCAATGTATGGGACACGATACCGACGCCACGGAGCCCCTACATACCAAGAATTGACGCGACGCACTGGGCCCCGGGCGCCACCCCTCTGGATGTTCGCGTTTGGCTTGCGAAGCTGCGCCCTCACTCGAGAACCGCTTGCGACAACGTAGCACTGTCGGAAGGACGGATCTGCACCGATCGGCCGCACCAATGCGCGTCGATTGGTTGGCAACGGCGACCGGAATCGAGAGGCTGCGAGCACCGCTGGCAATCGGTGGGACCGGCGCTGGCTGCGACTCGTGGCGTATCTTCGCCCATGGATCGACTGGCCGGGTGAAGGTCTTGAAGGCTACGCGGGATTGTGGCTTGCGGAAGGCGCAAACTGTGAGAGGCGCTAGCGCTGGTGGTGGTGCAATGCAGCAACGGTCTCTTGGGACAGGTCACGGGCTTTGGGGGCCAAATGATGTACTGCTACCGGATTACTCACAGTGGCAGACAGGGCAGCTAACGTGGGCATCCAGTGAGATGCTGTAGGGCTGAGATTGTGCGTCTCAAACGCCTTGCCAGACGGGAAGACTTTGCCAATGTCAGCCAAGCTTCCCATCAAAAGTGACCAACTGGAGTTGACCCAAGAGAGGTGGCGATGCGTGCTACAATAATCTACGGCATCTGCAAGGCAATCTACGCAATTGATGATTATGCCACCAAGTTTTAAGCAAGATGACCGTCAATCTGTGTGATTAATGTTATTGTGCGGCTGGACATTTTTGGAAACTGCTGCGAGCCTATGCTGAATACGTTGGCGATTCGGAGATTTGAAGCCCTGCTCTAATTGATTGAGAAATTCTCAAGATGCTTGCTGCAATAGGTTTACTTCTCAGTGATTGCTGTGCACCAAAACGTCAATGCTGATGCGGATTTTCATGCTGATCAATGCACAATTGATTTAGGGCAGGCTAGGGCGAGGTGTGATTTCATTTCTTTTCAATTCTTCTGCCTCAGGTAGTTGTATTTTACGCGGTTCTGTGACGCTTGGCAGCCCAATAGGTATGCGACCTGCCACACATGGAAACATCAGGAATGTGGTTATGAATTTGGTCATGAAAATAATGGACTTTTGCTGATGTGCTGGGTGAGTGTATCAGTCCTTTAATTCGATCAGGGAATATCACTGGGCTGATTTGTGGCGTGGCTGTGACGTCAGAGCGTTGTTTGTGAGCAGTACATTGTAGTGTGGGAAAAGGGCAGGCGGAGCCGTACGTGTGAACGAATATTCCTGCATATCTTTCAGGTCATGGCACAGATTCGATTGTGGTGCAGCGCGTGTGCTGGAAAGGTGACGAAGGTATACGATGAAGTGAAGCGATAGCCACCTGAGCGCTGCAAAGGGGTTTTGTTTGAGGATGAGAAGAGCATGTTGTGAAGTTTGTGGAAGCATGCTGCAATGTGATACGAATAGTAGAGTGTTGAGTGGCCATCACATGTGAATGCCAAATATGGCTGGTGAGTCATGGCCATGTGTGTGCTTGGATCAAAACACTTGCCCCACCCAGATCCCAATGCAAAGAGATCCTAGTGACACACAACAACCTACTGCTAATCCAGCTACAAGAGCACAAATAAACTGGAAATGGCAAGGACTATTGACTGGGCCAGCAATCACACCCGTCACAGGCTGCGATGTGATGGGTGCAGCACTTCTTTCCTGCCTAATCTGACCGCGCCTTGCACGTTCAGAATTCCACAGAAAACTCAGCTGCCCTTGCAGTCGAGCTATCTCTCTGGCCAAACTGGCGAGCTGCAGTGATTCTCTGCGCAGTAATGAGCAAAAGGTGCGCCCAAGCAGTTCGCCCACTTTCCAAACTAGCCTCACAACCCTTGCTGTCAAAACCGGTCTGTAGGCAAACAAATTGACGCAAGTTATAGTTAGTAATGCTCAACCAACTGCCTTCCAAAGTTTGAACAGTTGATTGGTGTTTATGAACACATCTATCCATTCCTTATTATGATTCCCAGGACTATGGACACTGCCCAACGAAATCAACGCATCATCAACATACACTTTGACATCCAGTTTCTTGCTGATTCTGTGTGCACTTACACAACCCAGTTATCAACAACTTTTGCAGACAGCTCTTTCCAGCTCCTTCGCAGTTGCCGAGTCTGATTCCGAGTCAGTGGTTGCCTCTGAGCTTCTTGTGTGCTTCTATGCAGGTCCACCTTCACAGGAGCTAGGGGACACTATAATAACGCACTTTTTGTGGCAGGATTTTGGGCTTTAATTTCCTGGATTAGTTCTTTAGGGATTTTCTCATCCTGGCTCATGCTATGTGTTGCGGCCCCGTCGGCAGCCGCTGGTTTCCGGAGTCGTGGGGGTCGCCCTGCCCTGCGGCTCGGCTGTTGGAGGTCAGCCGGCGCTCTCCACCTCGGATGGTGGGCGTATCCGGGGCAGTCGTTTCCTTGGTCGCGCGGTGGGCCCAATGCTCAACGGGGATCGATCCCCGGGGCCTGCTGTTGGCGAGTGGTGGCGGCGCAGCGAGGCGGTGGTTCGCTGGCTCGCGGGAGGCCAGAGAGTGGGCCAAAAGTGTTACAACGATTCACTGCATGCGCGCGCACATATCGCATGCGCGATGCCCGATCGTGGGTCCATCGCGGTCACATCATGACAAGACAAGACAAGTGCGCGTCCAGGCACATCATCACCGTCCACCGTTCACCTACGATCGACCCATTGTCCTCTAATTCCAAGCGTCTAACACCCGACCCCCTGGCCCTAAGTACTACGATTTCAGGAGGCCATATCTTCGCCGTTTCTTAACGGAATCGGGCGTTTAAAAGCTCGTTGGAACCAGTAAGCTCTAAATAACGTCCCCAAAAGGTCGATTTAGCCAATTACGTAATTCACACTCCAGAAATGTCAAATAAGCCTAAACCCCATGCAGCCACGTCACAATACTCCCCCCTTGGGGTAGCTTTCGCCCCCGAAAGCACACTATCCCATACTAGTGTCTTCCTCGGGCTTGTCCCTCTTGATCATCTTCTGGAGCTCTCTGGCGTAGGTGAAATTTCCTGCCGGTATCCAGGAGGCATCGTCAATACTCCACCCTGTCCATAACACCAAAAATTCCTTATGCCTCCTGCCACTGGGTCCAGCCCATCTCCATCGCAGCAGCTTCTCAACTTCGTATGGTTCATCGGATTCTGGCTCGATCTCGGCATCATCTGTCTCCTGTGGGGTAGACCATTTGGACGATCTGAATGGTCGAAGCAAACTGGTGTGAAAGACGTTATGTATCCTCCACCCTTCTGGTAGCTTCAATTCGTAGGCCACTGATCCCACCTGACGGATCACAGCAAATGGTCCAACGAATCGTCGCTTCAGTTTGCGAACAGGTGCATTCTTCAACTGCAAATGCTCTGTACTGAGTAGCACCTATTCCCCACTGTGAAACCGCTGCTCTCTGCGCCGCTGATCGGCCTGACGCTTCTGCCTCTGCTGAGCCTGATGAACTGACTGCATCGCCATTCTGAATGTTTTCTTCATCCTGTTAACAAAGACGTTGACACCTTCAATATTCGTCTGGTCTACATCCTTGATCAGGTCCAGCGGGGTCACTGGCTCAAAGCCATAGTTTAGAAAGAAAGGCGTGTACCCCGTGGATGGCGATGCGCTGCTGTTGATCACGAATTCCACCATGGGCAAGTATTTCTCCCAGTGAGTGACTTCCTGACTGCCATGGATTGTACACCTGAGTACTTGCTCCACCACCCGGTTGGCTGCCTCTGTTTGTCCATCTGTCTGGGGGTGGTGAGCGCTGGACATCCTCAGCTTGCTACCCAAAATCTTCCAGAATTCTTGCCAGAACTTCGACACAAATCGTGGATCTCGGTCACTGACGATCGATCTGGGGATCCCGTGAAGTCGTCCAATTTGCTCCCAGTAGACTCGAGCTGTCTCAGCAGCAGTGATGGTCTGCTGGACGGGTACCAAGTGTACCATCTTTGTAGCTCGGTCTACAACCGTGAGGATCCCATCATTTTTCCTTTCACTGACCGGTAGACCCATGATGAAGTCAAGGCTGACATCACTCCATTTTTCCTCTGGAAGTTGCAACGGCTGAAGGAGTCCTGCTGGCAACTTGTGGACACTCTTCTCTGACTGGCAGACCTCACAACCCAGCACAAAGTCTCGTACATCCACTGTGTGGTCTGGCCAGTAGAAATTCTGCTGTAGTTTCTTGAGTGTCTTGTGGTAACCAAGATGTCCCGCATATGGTATTGTATGTATCTCTGCCATAATCTTCTTGCGGGCGTCCTCCACATCTGGCACCACCAATCTCCAAGGTTGCCGGTCCTCGGTGTTGTCCTTCAACTTGATTTCAATGAATCCATGGTTCAATCGGTAATCACGATTCCCGATCCTGGTGACTCGTCCTTGGGCAGATTCCAACTGATTCAAAATTTCTGCCCATCTGTTGTCTTGCCTGTAGCCCTCTTTTATAGAGTTCCTCAAGTCTTCCTCCAGAGTAATCCTGGTGTTGGTCACCAATAAAGAATGTAAAGAATTTTGTTCCCCACTTGCAGCCACCACTGCACCCTCAGGACTGGACTTTTTAAATATTTCGTCCAGTTTCTTCTGAATATCGTTTTCCCCACTGTCACCCTCATGAAGACGAAGACGCTGGACCAATGACTCCTCTTCTGCGTGCACATCTGCCATGCATCTCAACTCCTGAATACTCCTGCGCATCAGAAAATCTGCAGGGTTGTCCTTTCCTGGTATGTGGACAATGTCGCAATCGTAGCCCTGCAGAACCTGCACCCATTTCCACACCCTCCTGTTCACTGCAGGCTGGTTGGGCAGGTTTTTCAAAGAGTCATGATCTGTCTGGATGACGAAGTGGCGGCTGGCCAAATAGTGCCGCCATTTCCCAACAGCCCAAGTGATGCCCAGTAATTCTCGTTCATATGCATTGTACCAGGTCTCGGCCGGGTTGAGCTTTCTACTCTCATAGCAAATGGGTTGCAGCCCGTTGCCAAAGTCCTGCTGTAGTATACCACCCACTGAAACGCCTGATGCATCTGTGGTAACCACAAACTCCCGGTCGAAATCCGGTAACTGTAGAACTGGTGCAGTCACCATGGCTGTCTTCAAGCGATTAAATGATTTTTCTGCTTTATCATTCCAAACGAAGGCCTTGTCCTTCTCCGTCAAGTCCGTCATGGGCACTGCCAGCTTGCTGAACCACCGTAAGTACTTGCGATAAAAACTGCACAACCCCAGAAATGAACGGACGTCGGTAACATTCTCTGGTGTCGGCCAATTCAAAATCGCTTGGACCTTTGACATTGAAGGCTTGATCCCCTCAGCCCCCACATCAAAGCCCAAGTATTCCACCTCAGTTCTGAAGAAGTCGCATTCCTTCAATCTGCCAAATAACTTCTCCGACCGTAGGCGGGTCAGAACTTCCTTGATGTGCTGTATGTGTTCCTCCCTTGTCCGGCTGTAGATTAATATGTCATCCAGGAACACC